ACTCAGCAGAAACGTCCCCTCTGTAGGAACAAAGGCTCCAACACCTAAGTTGAGCTGAAAATTCCTGAAGTGGCAAAATATTACCTAAGTCTTGACTGAAGTTTAACCATGGACAATAAATTACAGCTGGGCATTGTCTGAGAACCTAAACCTTAAAATGGGGTATCGTTTACTTTAGGCTTTGAAATCTGATCTAACTGCTAATTCAATTTCTCTTTCCTGAGTAAAATAAAATTGCTGTTTGGAGTGAGATGTCATATTGGCCCGCTGAAAAAATCATTCAAATTACTGGAAGGCTAGAAATCAATAAAATAAAGTGTCAGTGAATAAAGAAACATTATGGAAGGAGAAACCCATTTCTAACCCCTTTTTTTTTTTCTAAAATCTTTTTTAGATAGTCTGATAGAAAAGTTATTTTAGTAGGTTTAGAAATATTTTGTTGCATGTGTCTTTCCTTCTCCAGATCTGGATCATGTTTGAGCATCGAAGAAAGAATCATTATAATACCATGTGTGTTTTTTTGTAAGAAGAATCTTAAGTGCCTGTATTATTTTGTAGATTCACAGAGTAATTTAGATCGAGAGGAATATCCAGGGTCATTTAATCCAAAGCCCTACTGAAAGCAGGTCCAATTAGCTCAGGCTGCTCAGGAGTTTTTCAGTTGAGTTTTGAACACTTTATCCAGTCAAATTTCAAATATCCTCAGAAAGGGAGATATTAATATTTTCATTTTGTAGGCAACATATTCTGCTGTTTAAACACTTTAATTGTATTTTTTTTTATTCTAAGGCCAATTGAAATTTCTCTTCATGCAACCTCTTATACTTTTTTCCTCATGACATTTTGACATGCCTCTACCTGGCTCTGTCTTCTCTATAACTACAGGTAATGTATCCATGTAGCCCAAGGGGCTCGCTCGCCTCGCCGCCGCCGCCGCCGCCGCCGCGCCCCTCTCTCTCCCGCGCACCGCGCCTGCGCCGGAGGGGCCAGAGCCGGCGCGCGAACGCCGGGCTGCAGGACCGCGATCGGCGCGCAGAGCGCCCGGCGGCACCGCGCACGGGGCGGCGGCGGCGGCTCCTTACCGGGAGGAAGCGACGGGCGAGGCGGCGCCGCTCCGCAAGCACCGCCGCGTCACGGTGCCGGTAACCGCGGAGGCAGCAGCGATCGCTGCAGAGGGCGCCCCCACCGCGCATGCGCGGCCCCGGGGCTGCAGGACCGCATTTTCGGGGAGCAGCCGGGAGCCCGCAGGAAAACACCCAAAACCGGCACCAAAACTGCACCTCGAGCCGCGCTGCGGGGGCCGCGGCGGTAGAGAGGGCTGCGCCGGGCCACGCACCACAGAGAGCAGCGCAGCTGTCCGGCGGCCGGGCCCGCGAAAACTACAGCTCCCGGCATGCCCTGGGGCAAGCACAGCATGGCGCCCGCCGTCCGGTGCCGGCAGACTGCAGCTCCCGGCATGCCCCGGGAGGCAGCTCGCCCTGCGCTCTCCCCCTGCCGGGACACAGAGCAGAACTCTCCCAGAGCTCCGAGGGTGCCATCGGGGGTGCCACGGCCATGCGATCCGTAAGGCTTCAGGTAGTTGTTGCATAATTTTTGAAATGAAATGTGTTCCTCTGTCCAAGTCTGTGCTTTCTATTAATCCATATCTGGGATAATGTTTTCCAGTAACACCTTGGATACCATGGTTGCCATTGCCCTCGGTGTGGGGGATTGCTTCCACCCAGTGAGTTAAGTGAGCCACTAATACCAACAAATACTTCCACCTGACGTGCGGAAAACAGACTCCACAATCTGGTAGATTGTAAAGTAGGTATGTTTATTCAGCGCTGGGCACACAGGGGATCGCTCCTCCGAATGTGTATGCTGACATGTGGCACCGTTGCCTTAGATTTATAGAGCAAATGATTACATATTCATAATATTTCGCAATACGCCTATACATATGCATCACCTATCCCCGCTTCGTATTAAAATTAGCATTTCCATGGTCTCCTCCCAGTTGAGTCTGCGCAGTGAGTTCCTTTGGTCCTGGGCAGGGGTTGTGAAGGACTGGGCGGTGGTCGTGGGAGGAAGTATCTCCTCTTCCTCAGTGCTGAACTTTTCACCCCGAATTCCTGCGCAGTCTCTGTCACCCCCTGGACCCGCAGAGCAGGTTTGTGCCGGTTGTGGGGTAATCTTCACTTACTCAGGGGTGGAGGAGGCTTTTTACTTAAACAGGAGATAGTGGTCGAGCAACACAAACACAGCACTATCTATCTTGTTCGATCTAAGCAAACTCTTATCTCGACTATTTCCCTTGTCATCCCCTTCTTGCTATTCCCATATTAACCCTTACATCCCCTGTTCCTATCTAGGCCCTGTATCACACCCTTGTATTTGAGGTAGCTCTGTTAAGTCTACCTGGGGGCTTTGTATGGCTAGCTCCTGTTCCCCAGCCACCTTTTTCTCATTACCTTGTGGTTCACTTTTTAACAAATCAGACATCGATCAACTAGTTGTTTAGCCTCCGTATATATTCCTATACACCCATATTGTCTAAGAAAATGATCACAAAGCGATTGCGTTCCCCAGTGTATTTTCTGATGTATTAATGAGAGAATTTCTCATGATAATGTTTTGTTTAACATCTACCTTCCATCTGGTAAAGTCCATTTTCCTTCTGGATCTTTTTCCCCACTATTTTTAAGTATAACCTTCTCTTGTTCTGTGAAATTTGGGGCTAAATTCTCATAATCCCCCATTGTTATTACCAATAAAACTACTGATGATGATTCTGTAGCTGCTTTTCTGGCTACTTCATCTGCTAAATTATTCCCTGAAATGGGATATTAATCAAATTTGGTATTATGCTTGCACGAGACAAGATACATTGTTTGTATTGCTCTACCTCTATTACCTGTTCAAAACAAAGCCCCCCCCCCCCTTTCTTTCCTTAAATAAGTGTGTATTAGCAAAAGATCACCTCACAACCAGCACAAACTAGCTCTGTGGTTTGGCCCGGGTCCAGGAGGCGACAAAGACTGCGCAGGAATTCAAGATGAAAAGTTCAGCACTGAGGTAGAGGAGATACTTCCTCCCACGACCCCTGCCCAGGACCAAAGGAACTCACTGCGCAGCCGCAAGGAGGAGGAGACCTAATTATAATAAGAAGTGAGGGCAGGCGGGGATAGGTTATGAATATGTATAGATGTCTCATGAATATGCAACACTTTGTAACATATAAGCAAGGCGGGAGCAGCGGGGGGGGGGGGGGGGGGGCGGGGAACACAGGCTTGTTGTGGCGGAGCGATCCCCCATGTGCCCAGCGCCGAATAAACATACCTGCTTTACAACCCTTAGTTGTGAAGTCTTTCATCCATAAATCATCCCCCTTATTTCCATCGATGCTCCCCTCCGATGTCCTTTCACATGCACAACTGCAGTTTCTGTAGGGAGCTTCAGGGCTTCTAAAACTTCTCTGATCAGCCGCTCGTGTACTAGCTCCTTCCCTTTTGTATTTATAAGGCCTCTTCCTTCCCATGTTTTTCCAAATGTGTGGACCACTCCAAATGCATACTTTGTGTCTGTGTACACTGTCCCTTCCTTATCTCTCAAATATACCAATGCTTGTTTTAGGGCATAGACTTCACAGGCTTGTGCTGACCACCCAGCAGGTAATTTCCCCTTTTCAAACACTTCCATCTTCTGCCCCTCGATAATTGCATAACCCAATATTCTTTTCCCTTCTAGGCATCGAGAGGACCCATCAATAAATAGTTTTTTCCCTATAGGGCAAAGGTTCATCTAACAGATCTTCTCTTATTTTCATTTGATAACTTATAAAATCCAAACACTTACGCTCTGGTTCCTGAGTATCCTCCCTGATTCTCCTCCCATAATTCTAGTAATTTAACCACCAGTTTTCCTTCATCCAGCACCACACCTATTACTAACTTCACTTGTAAATCTCTACCTAGCAAATTACATCCTACCCCTGGCATTAACAGCAGATCATTAACAGCATATTGATCTTCCCCTTGTATTAACACATTCTTTATAACTGGGACTGAAAACCCTTTGCCTTTGGCCCATAAAGCCCAGGCTGTATCTTTTACATAATCTTCCTCCTGGGGACTTAATTTCAAATTTATCAAGGGCTCTTCTGTTGGTATACCCCCCCCCCAGGAGATAGAGCTCCTGACACCCCTAGTGATTACCACCCTCATCCTGTTGGGTTAAATAATTATGTACTGGATGGTAATGCATAATCAGCTGATGTATATGAGCTAGTTTGCTGCTGCTGGGAGCAATTTCCCTGAAATTATGTGTGAGAAGGTACAATTAGAGAGGGGGAAACCTGGGAGAAGGCTCTCTTAAGTCCTCTTGGTATACAGAAGGAGCTTGCTATTTCACCTACTGTTTAGGTTTTAGTCTAGGAAGGACGTTCAGCTTGTCACTCAACAACTTGTCAGCAATGTGTCTTATGACTAGAGACTTTGCAGTCTTTAAAATTCATGGTGATACTTTGCTGGACGTATCTGGGAACCACCTGTTTTTTGGCTCTCAGTATGTTACTTGAAACTTCTCCTTGAATTCCAGTGTCTGCAAGCTGCTTGCTCTTAAGAGATTGCTCCTGTGATAGGAATTGCTAACGTTCAAAAGAACTGAATGCTGCTCGAGTCACCCTGGCCCTGGAGTGTAACTGCAGTAATTGAAGCGTTTGAACTCCTTAAACAACTGAGAGGGGAAGTCAGGTTTCTTGGAGTGAGTGTGAGTGCTGAACAAGGCAGCTGCTTGTGTTGAGTGCTTAGGAGGGATTTGGAATGACAGTGTATCTCCGGCGATGTTTTCAAGCCTTGCCACTACCCACAGCTTAACTGTCCCTTATATCCTGTGCTAAGCAGGATATAAGAAGGTTATGAACTGTTCAGCCTGTGTCCTGGATACATAGGCGATTCAGCATGGTTACATTTGGAAATAGTTTTGTAACAGTTCAACATACAAAGACTGGAAGGGGGTGTGGGGAGGAGGGGAGCACCCAAACATCCTTTGTTTTGCAACAGCTGCAGAAGTGACAGTCCTGCAACTGTCATCCTAAAAGCTGAGCGTGTTAAAAGGCACATATAAATTTTTACTACATCTTTGAAAAACCTTACAGTTCATGAAAAGCAGGGTGTCCGGGGTTTTGTGTACTGGAGGTAGGTAATACTGTTTTAATTGCTTCAAGTATAATTCATAAGCTAGAATGGTACAAATCAAGGTTTTGACGGTAAGAATGGTTGCTGAGGGTTTTATGGCTTGTGAGATGATTGTGTTTCTGTGTATGAATGAGGTTGAAGGGCTGGAAGTATATTTAAGTAGAGAGATGAGCAACAGGGAGCCACAGACTTTTTTTTTTTTTTTTTTTCCTAGATTAAAACCAGGGTTGAGGGTTTGCTTAAACTCAGCTGGTGAACTAGCAAGTTTAAATGTTTGGTTGACTTCTTTACAGACTGACCTTAGCCATCAAGACAGTGTGAGCCAAGGGAGCAGTCCCTGGGTTAGGTGCTGGAAAGCACCTCTGACATTTAGCACTGAATCAATGAGGCATTTCCAAGAGCTGGGGAAAGTTACTGGGTCTCCAGTTCTTCTTCCATCTTTGGTGTAAGGAAATGCTTGGTTTCTGCTATCATGGTCCTTTTCCTCCTGGCTATTTTTATTGCCACGCCCTCTCCCTCCCTGTGCCATTCACCTTCTACCTGATAAACAGGTTATACCGGCTGGGCAGGAAGTAGCTGACTTTTGCAGTATTTCTGTCAATTTAAGTCATGCCAGCTGTGAATGTGATGCTCTGTAAGCCTGGGGATGGCAAGTTTGTCATGTCTTCAGGAGTAACCTTCTTCTTGCCATTCCAGTAACTTTCTAGGAGCTTCTTTCCAGGCAAGGAATGAAATACCATTTTCTTAATTTGCTCTTTTCCTGATTTTTTTTTTTTTTTTTAAGAGGTAGAAAAACAAACATTTAAAGGAAATCACTGTGTAGATATTTACAGCTTTTTTTTGCTACGTGTATCAGACTTTGTTTTTACAGTTAAGTGGACTGGTGGTAGTCCACTGCATGACCTAGTTGGCAAGCTGCTGTAACAGGGCTTTGGTGCTTCAGTCTTCTGTGAAGCTTTATGTATGTCATTTTGAATGTCTGATTATGTGCTGCAGTTTATCTCATCATGTCAAAAGTCAGCACTTTGCTATATTGCAGCAATGGATAAGCTAATCAGCTGATTTTTTTGGTTTTGACTTGAAGCTATCTGTCCTAATTTACAATTTAATTTAATTTAGGAAACAGCTAGTCCTGAAAATTGTCTCTCTCTGCGCTATTGACTAGGACTTTAATTCTTATGAGACTTCCACAAAGTAAGACTGGGGATGGGGTGGGAAGTCTGTTTTTGTTTCCCAGTGCTTGCAGAAGAAGGTTCAGGAACTGGACTAGGAATAGACCATTTCAGAAAACAGATTTTCAGTACCACACTAGTCATAACTCTTTACATGTATGGGTTCTGATTACTAAATTGTGGTTGAGTACGAGGTAGGAATTGCCATTTTACAATTTAGTTGTGGAGCTTGAAGGATTTCCCTAGGTTTTCAATCACTAGTTTTAAACTGGATTATAGATAACCAAAACCTTCATGTATAGCACCGTGGATGGAGCTTTCAGGATACAAAGAAGTTTGTACAAGTAACTGTGGCAACTCAAAACAGTCTGTGAGAGTTTTCATCTAACATTAGAGCTCATGTTTTTATTAAGGAAGTTGTTCACCTCCATTAACTTTGCTAGTTTGTATGGCTTTAAAATAGAAGTATTCTCTGTCAAAACAGTTTTTCAAAAAATATTTGTGGAAGTTGTCACTTGGTGTACTGAATTAGGAAAATATATGTCCTATGTGAATGAGTAAATTATTAAATGGCCAAAGAGGTTCTTTAGGGTATAATTTCTAAGCCCTTTGCAAAGGGACAGTCCTCCTTATGGTACAAGAGGATGAGATGGTGGAGGCAGCACCACTGTGTTAATAGCAGTGGTCAGTTCTTAACTGCTGTCAAAGGAAGAGCACTGTGCTGTCTTAATGAATGTTTCAGATGTAATCTCAAGTAACATGCTTCAGTTTTCCATACTGGGCAGGGATATTTGTGGGTGTGGAAAACATAGGCATGATTGGTGTCAAAATAGTATATGGTGTGATAAGTGTAATTGTTGTACCCTGTGTGGATCTGAAATGATGTGTGATCGCTATAAGCTGTATAATAATTGGGATGAATGTTGGGATCAAATTGAGAATATGCAAGCATAAAATATAGACGAGCGTGCTTCTTGCTGGGAACAACAGAACCGCTTTTTAGAAACCCCGCCACTTTCAAAAGATCCAAGAGGAGAACAGCAGGCCAAGAGGCAGAGGCCTCCAGACTTTCAAAGGACCCAAGAAGGGACGGCCGTGTACCCCATCAAGTCAAATGATCCCATGGAGGAAGAGCAGGACGACTGTCTGGTAAAGGGGGATTGCAGAGCCGCGGACGAACGACACGCCGAGACGGGTTCAGTGTGGGTGATAGAGCATCAATCTACGTGTGTCGTTATTGGTCCAGGGTACATATATTTATATAGACAATGATAATTATTATGCCTACTAGTCACTAGCTGATTGGCTTAAGCTCTAAAGGTCGTATTCGCACGGTCCACCTACTTGCAGTTAGCTAACAGCACAAGCTTCTCATAACACTAAGTTTCTCATGCTACTATTTCTGATTCCTGTTGACTTGTTTTCAATACACGACAGTACCGTAACACAATGTTTCTCAGACCACCGTTATCGTAACACTAGGTTTCTCAGACCACTATTCCTAATTCCCCTTAACCTGCTTTCGACACACCACGGTACACAGGGCTGAAGCGTCCTTGACATTCCTCCTGTATCAGCAGCTGCAGGCAAACCCTAGTGAGGCTCAGCATCAGCAGCTAGAGCAGGCTCTGATCATACAATTGCTCGGTGGGCTCAGGACCCTTGTCTCTGAGCCATTCTCCAACAATTCCCCCTTTTTCTTTTTGTATGAGCAGAGCCTGCGCTAACGTTCATTCAAAGATATTCTTAATACATGACAAGGCACAACTTAAGCATGGAAGCTTACAATGTGTTGGCTAAAGGCACTTATCACGCACCCGGAAGTGCTGTGATAGGTCTGCATCGTTAGCACGCGTGAACAAACTAAATCTACTTTATGGTTAGTGCATCCAGGCATTAAAACAGGGAGGAAGCACTAGATTGACTTCCTCCTTCTTGCCCTTCCAGGTGACCCCAAGGGCAGGATTACCATGTGGCAGTTTTCTGATCAGAGACCCAGCCTGGATTGTCCAAACCCTGTAGGATCAGTGCATAACCCTGATCCCCCCACAAAAAAAATTCCTACCAGGTTTTTCCCCTTTTTCTTTTTTGGACAATCCAGACTCCTTTTGACGTTTGAATCATAGCATTCATAAAGCATTTCCACACAGACCCCAATACCATCATGACAATCATAATGACAATCAGCATTACCAGTCCATGCATCAACAAAGCTTTCAGCCACCCAGTAATTTCCAAGTTTTGTAGATTTGCAACCATTATCAGTCCATTATCCAAATTCCCAAGTCTCGTAACCAGTCTGTCAGTCCGTGTTCCAATCTTATGCAGTCTTATGTAGCAAGAAAACCATCCTTACAGTTTTAAAAGTGTCAGCAACTGTAACAACAGCATATGCAATACAGAATGTAATACAGGTTTCACCATGCTATGTTCTAAACATTGCAATGAACCCACAACATACAATGAACCTGATACTACATGAACAAGTTTTTGATACCAGTGTTGATGTTGAACAACATACAATGACAGTTCAGAGTTGTAAAGTTCGTAAGGAGTCTCCAGACCCCCCGAGGAGAATTTTGTGATCTTGAGTTCCCAGGTGTCCCCCATTTGTTGTCACTACCGGGCAGGCCAACGCCCCAGCAGCATGCCAGTCCCCTTCTAACAAGGCATCACGAATCACTGCACTCCATCGGGACTGAGCTAAAAGCAGAGCTGGTTCTGAGAAAGGTGATGGGAGTGGGTGTGGTGGGGCTGCCGGCAGCGCTTCCTCTTCTTGTAATTGTAAATGCAGAGTTCTGTTCTGTAGCTCAACTTCTGTAATTTTCTTTCAAGTTCTTGGACTTTGTCACTGTCCATTACCGATGTGTGACCCTGTTGCTTTAATTTGGACAGAGCCGCTGCTTTTCTCTCTGAGCCAGACGCTGACGCGCCGTCAGGGGCGGAACCATCTGAAGGGTGAGGGTGCGGGCAGAGTTTATGGTGGCACGCTGCTCCCACCTGTCCCCCCGCGCCGCCTGATTTCTCTGCCGCTTCTTGCACGGCGGAGCAAACAGGAACACTTGGTGACATGTCCTTAATAGAGCAGAGCTGTTGATTACACCCGAAGAAGATGGCTAATCGGGACGGACGGTTGGTTTCGGCAGGGACCAGTGGGGATGGTACAGCGCTGACAGCCGCCATTGCAGCAGCAGCTACTTTCTTTTCTGCTGGCATCTCCCCCAGAGCTTTTACGATCGTTCGCCAGACCACCCCGTGCTGTCATGCTTCACTGCCTTTATTGCCTCCAGTGACAGTCTCGTCCCACAATAAATCACCTACTTTGCGCCACTCCTGTTGGCTACATATTAGCGAGGGGCCATCGTCCCTCTGCCCCTCCGCCTCTGAGGTAGGGGGGAGTGGGGGGGGGCATGACTGTAAAGATACTGGGGGGGGGCTGGCCTCCGGACTTTCCCTATTCACATTAACTGTAACTGGCCCTCCTGTTGATGGTACAGGAATACGATCACTGTCAAAAAGCATAGATCCGGATGCCTCACTATCTGGGGTAACAGTGGAACTTTCCCCCCCCAACTTTGCAGTTGCCACAGCTGCAAGGTTCTTTTCAAGCTGACACCGCTTACTATTATTCACCACCTCCCGCCATGGTTTCATCATTTTCCTTGCAGCTTTATCCTCGTCTATTACCATATCCCACAAAACATCACCTAATCGTCTCCACTCGTCGACATCAAAAAGAGAATTAGGGTCCTGAAAACATCATTTGACCCATCCTAATGCTACTAAACCTGCGAGTGATTTTATACAATCCACTCCCTGCTTTTCTAT